ATATTATCCTATCACAGCATTATACACTTTAAGGCAGATCTTGAAATGTTCTTTTTGATGATGACTGTGACATCATTCCTCTTCAATTTGTCATTCCTGGCATTGTAAACCATGTAACTGTCAAATTTAAAATGTCCAATACCAGTCCATTTAATCTCACTAATGCCTAGGATATCAATGTCTATGCGTTCCATTTTTGACCATTTCCAATTTTCTTATATTCATACTTCGTACATTCCATGTTCCAGTTATTAATGTATATTCACAGCTGTTTTACTTCATTTGAGTTGTGCCTCATCAGCAAATGAAGGTCCTGAAGGCGTTACTCCATTAGCAACATCACAGTGAGTTCTAATTTGAAGTGGCAGTTCTTCCTTGCCCAGTCACATTTTGAGTGCCTTGCAACCAGAAGGGCTCATCTTCCAGCTACATATCTGACAATATTCTGGTGTTCCACATCCTGTTTCAGTATTCAATAATCTGGTGCTGAATGTGTTCCAGTGCTATTCATAAAGTTTTCAGAGACTATTCAGTAGTAGTCCATTTCTTCATCGTCCTAGTCTGTCTTCATCTGAAATCTCAGTTGAACCCTGTCCATTGTATGTGACTCTGCTGATATTTAAAATACCCATGGCATAGCTTCCAGAATCATAGCAACATACAAGCCACCACAGTATGACAAACTGACATATGAGTGGTGGAAAACAAACCCACAAGAATGAAATAGGAAACCAGAGATATCGTGTATAATGAAGTCAATCAACTATAAAAGCAAAAAGAGGGAATAGTGTAGTTACAGTACTTCCAATGGCAAGGAAGTCAGGTAGATTTCAAGATAAACAGACTGCTTTAAGCAGAGGAAAAAAATTAACAAATTACAGGGTAACCTCAAAGAAAAATAATATACCTGCACATCAAAGTAAAAAAAGAGGAAGATCAGAAAGATTTCATAAACACAACAGAAATGAAAATGAAAAGAAAACCCCAAAACAAAATGAACTCAGCATAGAAAATTATATGGAAAAAAGAATTCAGCAGCATTACAAAAAAAACCCACACACAAAGAAAAAACGACAACACTAAAACACTAAATTCCTATTGATCATTATACTAAATGTAAATAAATTCAGTGTACCATTCAAGAGACAAAAAGAGCCGAATAGATAAGAATATGCTGTCTAAAAAAGAAATATCACAAAGATGGAGACAGCCTGAATGCCCATCAACAAAAGAATGGTTAAAAAACTTTGGTCTATACACAAGGTTGAAGAATAATGATGAATCTGTGAAACACCTCACAGGCTGAGCCTGAAGAACATTATGCTGAGTGATACTAGTCAGTCACAAAAGGACAAATATTATATGAGATCAAAGTTGTAAAGAGTTTGTTTTTTAAAGGTTTCTTCATGAAAGAAACTATCTGGTTATAGGGGGATGGGAGGAGGGAAAACTGTTCATGGGATAAAGGGTAACCATGTTAACCTAGGTGATATGGTAGACCATATACAAAAGGGAGGTTAGCAGAGGGCAGAGTAAGGTAGCGGGAGACAAGGAGGAATGCAATAGATAAATGGAATAGAGAGGTAAATACTGTTAACTGTTGGTACATGGAGGGGATTACAACCATATAAAGAAGCAAAGTATAGGATTTGTTGAATTTAAAACTGATGACTTACTCTGTAAACTTTCACTCAATTCACAATAAAAATTTTAAGAAATAATAATAAAATAAAGGAGAGAAAAGTGAGCACAGGGACACCACTACCACCAGGAGTCCCTCTCTGTATCTGCTCAATTCACCTTCTTTTTGTATTTCAAAAGAGATTGACTCAAGGCACAACCTAATCCTGGAAATGGCATCAAACCTTATTAGCATTATGTTGTTGTTAAGTGCCGTCAAGTGGGTTCTGACTCATAGTGTACCTGTGTAGGATTTCCAAACAGCAGCTGGTGGGTTTGATCTCCTGGCCTTGGGTTCAAACCAACCTTGCAGTTCAGTCCTCATCCTACAACACCACACCAGGACTCCTAGTAATATCACAGAAGTGAGGATTTACAACATAGGTTAATTACATCAGAGCAGGGCTTATCATATCAAATCACATCATGGGGATGATTGTATTATATTGGATCTCACCACAGGAGATTGCTACACCTTCACTGTCAAACCACTGAGAATCCAGGCGCAGCCCAATGGACACAAAACCTACCACAATGTGTTTACTGGGGCACTATGACCACCATGTGACTTTGTGTTAATGTTACAGTGATAACATTATAGCCCACCAGCATGTTGCACTAATTAGCATTGTTAAAACTAGTATAAATATTGCTTGTCACCAAAGTCAGTAGAACGCCATTTAAATCAGCCTAGCTACTAAAGGGGAGAGTTCTGGTATGGCATAAGCACTGAACTGCTAAAACCAAGGTCAGATGTTCGAATCCACCAGCCGCTCCTCAGAAAGCCTATATAGGATCACTATGAGCCAGAACCGACTCCAAGGCACTTAAGAACAACAACAAAGTTGTAAAGCGTGTCCAGGTAGTCAAAGTCCTACTAATAAAGGCTTTTCTTTTTCTTTGTTTATCTGGAGTGTTTGTTAATTGGACTCATTCACTCCAATTAATAAACACTCCAGAGATAAACATAGGACCCAAGCTATGGGGTAATAATATCATTCCTAGTGTTCAGGAAACAAGGAAAAAAAAAAAAAAATCCTCAACACATGAATAAGCAGGAAAATACGTGACCCATACCCTAGAGAAAACGCAATCAATGAAGAGCAAGTCCAAGATGACCCAACTACTGCAATTAAAACACCTACAAGACCCAAGGGATGGTCGTCAAAAAGTCTCAGAAATGTTTGTGCAAACTATTCGGTAGGACAGTTGGTTTCTATAAAAATTGGGGTTGCCATTCCAGAAGCCCTCAGGAATGCTGTTGAGACAAAATGAGAAATATTGTAGAGAAACAACGTGACCCTGGCTGTTCACACACTAACTGAAAGCAGAAACTAATACCTGTCCCCTTCAACACCAAGAAGGGAAAGGAAGGCATCAGCAGAACTGCTGGTTACCCTGAAATAAGTTGGTCTAGATCTCTAGCTCAGGGGTCTAATAAAGCAAAGATTTTATGTGTGTGTTTGAAGATTGTCTGAACTGTGTTTGCTATTTCTGTTTGTTTTGTCAGCTGAGCTGCTTACAGCTCTGGAAACTGAAAACACTGTACTTGTAAGTTGCAAGGCAAGGAGTTGAGCAGATTTCAAGGAGAAAAGGGAATCAGGCAGAATCAAAGGTGGGTGTCCTGGGCCTGAGGTAAAGCCTTAGAGGCCAAACCAGTCCCCAGCACAAAACAAAAAGGAAGTAGAACAGCTATTCAAGACCACTACTGAAATGCATAAATGCATACTGCAAAGCCCTGTGAACTGCCAGGTCGATGTTCAAACTCACCAGCTGCTCCTTGGAAACCCTATACAGGGTCACTATGGGTCGGAATTGACTTGATGGCACATAACAACAACTGAAATGCATAGGTACAAACCATCTCATCTCTAAATTTAATTTGCAGATTATCCTGAGAACTCAAGAGTTTTTTCATATCCCAGGAATTCCTCCTAATGCTATCCAGAAATGTGGACCCAGCTGAATCTTCCATATCGAAACAGTGCGTACCTTTCTTAAGAATCTTCTTCACCTTCACATAGTTCCCTTGTTTCACATATTCATGCAGCTGAGCTTCCAAGGAGTCATTTCTGAAGGAACCAAGCTGAACCGGACAGGGGACTGGAAGATTGACAGGCCGAGACATCCTGTTTGCAAAAGACAAAAGCAGGCTTATTCTAACTGACCCAGAAATGCAGGGAAGCAATACAGATTTCTTCATACTAAGAAAGCTGTCCACATTCATTTATCATTATCTAAATGCTCCAAGATTAACATTTATCCTGGATGTTATAGCTGAAATTGAAGAAATGAATATTGTTCTAATCAATTCCCAGGACTGAAAAAGAGATGACAACTAGAGAATGAGTCCTGGTGTAAGAATGTAGGATAAACACTGGACTGCTAACCGCAAGGCTGACTGATTGTTCAAAACCAGCAGCGGCTTCTTGGAAACCCTATATAGGGTCACTGTGAGTTGGAACCTACTGGATGGCACTAGGAAATGAAATTAGGAATAAACACATTTGTTGTATCATTAAGGTAATTAGGAGAATATTGGCTTTATAATGGGTTTTGTTACCTCCCTGTATGACCTTGGAGAAACTATTCAGCTCAGTAAGCCTGCATTTCTTCATCCATGTAATGAGAATAATAATAACCAGGGACTTGCTGAGAGGTTTAAAAGAGGGAATATGTGTAAAGTGTTAAGAACTGGGCCTGGCACCAAGCAGCTCTCTGAAGCTGTTATAAAGTTTTAAGTCTCCACATGTGGCATCCACGCCTGACCATCACACAATTAAGTATCCTAAATATGGCAGGTGCTGTGAAAAACCCCTCAAGCCAACTGCTGACATCACCATGCTCACCGCTGCTACCGACCACTACAGTGGAGGGGGTGAGACCCCACGGGTGTCTTTGCTGGTGGGAAATAATTCAGCGAATGAATTCACGGAGACTCTTTTTCCATCCAAAGATGTCTCTCTTTATTGCTCTAAGACCACAGTTTTTATTTATATCGTTTTACTACTTACATAAGTGTTTAATCAATGCTAGTTTTGGAAAATCAGTAATTATTTTCTTTACAACAATAGTCAGGGGATGTGTGTAATCACAGTTTCTTTGAAATACATCAGAAACTCTTAGTTCTATAGTCAAACATCTACATTTAATGATTCTTCTACCATATTCTGTTAGACTACTTATGCTTCACTAGCTACAATAATGGCTTTATTGTGAGGGAAAGGAAAGGACGTAAGTGTGACCACAACATTCTTTTTATTATCTGATTTCAATATATACCATCATAATGTTTCAAGTTAATCATATGTTCCTATGTGATCTTTTCTTATATCCTGTTTTTCTAACTCCTAGTGTTCTAACTATTATCTTCAGTATTGTGTGTGAGTATTAAGTTAACAATTTATTTCAAACAAGTGAATGCATTGTGGCCAAAATGCTCTGTCAAACATTACCTAAATGTGAATTCTACACAGCTAATTGTAACCTCTATTCTTCTGCCAACTTCTCAGAGCACAACGACTTTATTAAAACAGGGGTTGGGTATGATTATTAAAACATCATCATTTAGGTGTCTGCTATGGAAGCACAAGAAAAACACACATATATATATTAAAGCAAGAAATTTAAAGGCTGACTATAAATCTAGCTGGAACAACTCTGAGGGGCTTGCTCCCTTTGAAGCCAATGCCTCCAATCCGGCGACCTTTGTCACGCAGATTCCTTCGGAGTGGGCGTGACACACCGCCTAGCAGGGGAAGGCGCTCACTCCATGAGGAGGATGCTTCATTTCCTGGACTCAGCATGGGTGTCAGGGCCTGAGAGCTGTATGGAGAAGCACAGGTGCCACAGAAGACACATTCAGTGGACCTGCGCCAGCCAGAAGGCTTAAGGGATTTTATACGTTACTGAGAAGTAGCACCTTAATTTATCTACTGACAATATGTGTAAAGTGCTGATAAGTTAGTGCTTTTACTTGTTGAATGTAAAACTGACGTTTTGCCTTTTAACTTTTTCTTCATTCCCCATTAAAACCTTTAAAAAAAAAAAAAGTTAGTGCTTTTACCTTAATACTTCCTTTGAGATCTGGTAATATCCCAGATTGACTACAAACAATATCCTAGCAATCCAATAACATGGCAATGTTCTTAAGCAAACACTCAGAAAACATTTTTAACTTTTTATTGTGAATTGAGTGAAGGTTTACAGAGCAAATCATCAGTCCCACATTCAATAAATCAGACTTTGTTCATTACAATGATTGCAATCCCCCTCCATGTACCTTCAGTTCACAATATTGACCTCTATTCGCTTTATTTTTCCTCCCCTCAACCCACCCTGTAACCATCAAAGGATGTTTCATTTAGCAAGAAAATATTTTTTTAATCAGTTAATAGTATTTACCTCTATTCATTTTATTTTTTCCCCTCTACACCCCCACCCACCCTGTAACCATCAAAGAATTCAGAAAACATGATTGCATTTTAAATAAATATAAACAGAATCTCATATAGTAATTTGCCACACCCCACACCTCACCAGAACACCTATATTCTGCCTTCTGTTTCCAGGTATAAAAAGAGACATTTCCATTAAAATTGGGTTAGCTATTAAACAAAAGCAAGCTATTTCTTATGCAGACGGTTTTATTTAATGTCACTTAAAATTAACAAATGGGACAATTTCAATATTATAAAAAAGATTGTGGAAAACATTCTTAAGAAGGGAGTCCAAATTTACTTTCTCCACTTCATGTGTCCATTCAGTGGCCTGCTGGGATGCCAGTCCTCCTCACTTCCCTGACCCTGAGCTGCTTCCACCTGGACAGATGCAATGCGCTCTTCCAAGTGCTGTCATATGAGAATGTTCAGCTGCATGTGACACTGCTGCTCACTTCATCTGGTTATTAAATAGTATTTACACAAATAATACATGAATATGTTCTTCATGTAACATGTTCAAACGACACAGATAAAATTCCCCAGACTCACTTTAGTGCCAAGATGCAAGGCGTACTATCAACTCCTATTTTTTCACTACAAAAAACTCCAGAATACAAGCATCCTGAGAAAGTACAGACTAACATCTACTACTGAGTAAGTATTTCTGAGTATTCTAGTCTTTACTTCTTGTTTCTTTTCCAGCCATTCTCTGAGCAACCATGCCCCCTCCCATTTCTGTTTGGTACCAGGAGAGTACTAGACTCAACAACTAAGTAGGCTCAACATTGTTGTTGTTGTTAAGTGCCTTTGAGTTGGTTCCAACTCATGGCAACCCTGTATAGGGTTTCCAAGGAGCAGCTGGTGGGCTTGAACAGCCAACCTTATGGTTCGCACTCCAGTTTGAGTATTCAAACTGAATTAAGAGATCATCTGACAAACAAATTTGGTGCATTAGACACTACTGACTGAAGACCAGAAGAGTTGTGGAGTGACATCAAGAACAGCAGAAAGAAAGAAAGCTAAGCAAAAGGTCATTAAGAAGGCAAGAAAGAAAGAAAAGACGAAAATGGATGTCAGAAGAGATTTTGAAACTTGCTGTCCAGTACACAGTTGCTAAAGCAAATGGAAGAAATGAGGAGGTAAAAGAGCTAAACAGAAAAGTTCAAAGAGCAGCTCAAGAAGACAAAACCAAATATTATAACAAACTGTGCATACACCTGGAGTTAGGTAACCAAAAAGGAAGAACACGCTCAGCATTTTCAAGCTGAGGTAACTATAGAAAAAATTCAGGCCTCAAGTCGAAATATTGAAGGATTCTCAGGGCAAATTATTGAATGATGCAGAAAGCATCATAACAAGATGGAAGGAATACACAGAGTCACTGTACCAAAAGAAAATGGTTGATGTTCAACCGTTTCAAGTGGTAGCATATGATCAAGAGCTACTGATACTGAAGGAAGAAATCCAAGGTGCATTGAAAGAATTGGCAAAGAACAAGGCACCAGAAATTCATGGAATACAAATTGAAATATTTCAACAAACTGATGTGGCACTAGAGGTGCAGGGGTAGCTAGCTGGGAGGGGGAAATTATTGCTTAAAGGATACTGAGTTTCTGCGTAATGAAAAACATCTGGAAACAGTGATGACTGCACAACTTGGTAAATTTACTGTAATTAATGTTACTGAAAGGAGCTCTGGTAGCGTAGTGGTTACGAATCGGGCTGCTAACCTCAGGGCCAGCAGTTCGAAACTACAAGCTGTTCCACGGGAGAAAGATGAGGCTTTCTGCTCCCATAAAGATTTATAGCCTATGAAACCCTGTTCAGGGTCGCTGAGTCTGAAACAACTCCACAGCACACAACAACAACAACAACAACCGTTACTGAATTGTACATGTAAAAGTGGAGGAAATAGCAAATGCTTTGTCATCTATATTTTACCATAAATTAAAAGCAATATATCTCACCTGAATTTAGAGATCTGAAGAACAGATTTGATACATTAAACACTAAAGACCGAAGACCAAAAGAGTTGTGGAATGACATCAAAAACATCGTACATGAAGAGAGCAAAAAGTCATTAAGAAAACAAGAAAGAAGGAAAAGGTCAAAATGGATGTCAGAAGAGACACTGAAACTTGCTCTCCAGCACAGAGATGCTAAAGCAAATGGAAGAAATGAGGAGGCACAAGAGTTGAACAGAAAATTTCAAAGATCAGCTCAAGAAGATAAAGCCAAATATTACAACAAAATGTGCAAAGATCTGGAATCAGAAAACCAAAAAGGAAGAACACACTCAGCATTACTCAAGCTGGGGCAACTGAAGAAAAAATTTAAGCCTCTACTTTCGTTATTGAAGGATTCTCTGGGAAAATTATTGAATGATGCAGAAAGCATCAAGAGAAGATGGAAGGAATACACAGAGTCACTGTGCCAAAAGGAAATGGTTAATGTTCAACCATTTCAAGAGGTAGCATATGATCCAGAGCCAATGATACTGAAGGAGGAAATCCAAGGTGCAATGAAGGAATTGGCAAAGAACAAGGCACCAGGAATTGATGGAATAAAAATTGTAATCTTTCAAGAAAGTGAGATGGCACAGGAGGCACTCACTCATCTCTGCCAAGAAATCTGGAAGACCACTATCTGGCCGACTGATTGGAAGAGATCTGTATTTGTGCCCATT